TGCATAGCATGCACCCTGGCTTCAAACTTCAGCACCACAATCATACAAACGCTTAGCTTCATGATGCTCCTGGTCTAAACCCAAACATCCTATCCATGATGTATCATCAGTGGGTGTAAATATCTATTTTGGGGGCAATCAATTATAGTCCTTCCAAATCATGCCAACAGCCAAGTCCCCTGACCACTCATCTCTGGCCTTAAGTCTGGCCAGGGACAGAGCATAGCCCTGAGCACGTTTCTTCCATTACCAGTGGTCACACAAGGTCTCTCCAGCCAGAGTTGGCTATGAAGTAATAACTTACATAAAATGGATTATCCTTTCTGAAGTAAAATTCAAAATGTTAATAGAAATACACTAGCAATTTAAGAGCTAGTACATTAGGATCTGCAACTTGCATTCTTTTAAGCAGTTTCTTGGATCTATTTTTCACTGGAGTGTAAATATATTTTTGAAGAGTTTTAAAGATTTAAAAAATTAATCTAAAGTAAAGCCATGTTGTTATGTTGAGCTGTGGGGGACTCAGGTCAATAATTTCTGACATTGCCAGTTAAACAGAAGACCCAATGCTATTATGGGCTACTGGACTCTTTTAGAATATTTTGCTGAGTTTACACACCTATAATATTCAACAACGGAACTTAAAAAAATTGGGATATAACTATGAATGTCCATTTTGTATCTGTGTATTCAAAGTGGTTGGGATAGATACATAGCTGCATTCTCTTAATGAACAGAATGATTTGTTCTAATGGTGTTTGTAAGTAGGATCACAAGTCTGCATCTTGTACAGCAATTAACCACTAAGAAGAATATATGCAGTGTATTATTTGTTGAAACTGTACTTTCGATTTGATTTGAAACTGTCTCATTGCTATATGTTAATAAAACTTTGGAAAAAAAATAAATAAAATCAGATTAACAAAAAAAAAAAAATTAATCTAGCATCGACAAGATTTCAAAAGCCAGGCACGGTGGTGCATACCTGTTATCCCAGCACTTCGGAGGCTGAGACAGGAGGATCACCATGAATTCCAGGCCAGCCTGGGATACACAGGTAGGTACAAGGCCAGCCTGTACTACATAAGCCCTTACATTAAAAAAAAAAAAAAGATTTAAAAATACTTCCTGCATTCCTTAATAATTATTTACATAACCTCAATGTGTACAATTTATATCACCAGCTAAAGAGTTCTAATTGCTAAAAACTACCCCCTACATACCAGCCCCTTTCTTGTTTAGATGGCTCTTCCTGCACTTTTTTCAGCTCCATTCATCTTCTTCCAGACACATCAGCCGGAGCCCTCCCTCTGCACCTACATCTACAAGTCACAGAAATGTCAGTTTTCCACAATGGATATTCCATTGTCAGCACTTTCTCACACAGTTTAAAAGCCCCACTCCTCAAAAATAGACCAAGAACTGCATTTAGGAATGTCTACAAGGCCCTTTCTTTACCTGGCAGATAAAGATAAGGCCCTTTACCTGAATCCTGTTTATTTAACACAGATCCTTCCCTCCCTACTTTACAAACTCCACTGAAACTTGTAATTTTAATACTTGAAGAAACAAAGTATCTCAAAAAAAAAAAAAAAAACCAATAAATAACAATTAACAGAAACTCCTGGTAAAGAGCTCTTGCAGTATCCAACCAACACCTAAAATGGTGTCTGGCACATAGCAGATGCTTAACAAATGTTGTTAAATGAGCAAATGGTGAACCTGGTTTTCTACTTCTTTTGGATCAAAAGAAAAAAAGCAATTAAATTTCTTGAAGGGTATCACAGAAAAAGATTTCTCCTGGAAAAGTTTATTTATTTTATTTTATTTTTTGGAACCAGGGGTTGCACTTGCCAGTCAGGCACTTAAGCCACCAAGCTACATCCCCAGCCCCTCTACTGGAAAAGTTTAAACACACATTTGTTAGGAGTAAAGTAAGAAATACTGTATTAGACAGGAAACTCAACCAAATTATCTCCTAAGTTCTTTCAAGTTCCAGAATCTAAAGCCTGATGAACAGCAGTCCACCTTAAAAGAGAAGAGCTACCTAAAGTCTAATTCCCAAGTACAGTAATTATCATAGCTGCTCTGGGAACCAGATACAAAAACACTAATTCATCTAAAATGTAGGCACAACTCTAGAGTGAAATAATTCAGCTAATCATCAGTCACTCTGGGAAGAGAACACGTGCTTAGGGCCAAGTCCTTACTCACACCAGTGGGGAAAGGGAGAGCAAAGGACAAAGATTACATACGGAATAAAGACTATCATATTAAACTTCAGCTTTCATCTTGAAATCAGTAACAGCCACTTAAGAGACATAAATGAATTTCGCTTTGGGATATAAATGATTGTAACCAAATATAGTAACGTCACAAGGCAAAGAATGCAAGCACATTTATGCACTTACGTTGCTATGTTTACCTTGAATAACACACTAAGATGTCTAAAATTGAGGGCAAGTCATTAAGATCAATTTTTCTTCAATCTGGATGGAAGAGCTAATTTATAGGGAAAGGAGTTACATCTGTTTTCCTAAACAACTATTTAAAGTTTAAACAAACTCTATTCTCATATAAATCAACTTTGGAAGGATGCTCTCCCCCCAAAAAATCTTTAATTCAAAACATAAAATAAATAAGGGAACTGGAGAGTCAGTGAATTCTTAACAATAGACTTGTATCCATCCCTGTGAACCAGGTTCAGAGACTCTTCTGCATTCTCTAGAGTTGTTTTGAAGATATAACTGCAGAGACCACACTTGGAGAGCAGCCCCATGAACAAAGTGACACAGTTCAACAATTTCTTGCAAATGTGGTCACACATTTTTTCCTGCGGCATATTAAGATTTTGTTACCTCTGCAGTCAATTCTCTGATCACTCAGACAACTCAGGAGGACAAAAAAGTCTTGTTCTCACATTTTAAGTTAAATTTAGATTAAATTATCTAAATTTCAGCAACCACAGGAATGTGCAGAAAACAGTACCCTCCTTTGTACACATATGTTTTACAACATCGCTATTATCTAAATGAGAAAGGTCTTACACAATTCCTTTGATAGCCAGGCATGACAGCACACATCTTTAACCCAGTACTCTGGAGGCTGAGGCAGGAGTGCAGCAAGCCTGTACAATACACTGAGTTTAAGACCAACCCAAACAGGGCCTGCGAGGTAGCTCAGCGCACTAAGCCCTTGCTTAAGTAAGGGCTGAGGCCAGGGTCCTCTCACCCCATGCACACCCCTGGGCCCGTTGGACAAGCGATTCAGTCTGGGGCATGATAGAGCACCCCTGTACTCCCAGCACTAGAGGCAGAAAACAGGAGGGTCAATTCAAGTAGTGAGACCCTTAACAAAAAAAAAAAAAAAAAGGCCCATAATACATAGCAAGACCCTGTCTGAAAAAAAAAAAGCCAAGCCAAGCCAAGCCAAGCCAAGCCAAGCCAAGCAAAAAAAAAAAAAAAAAAAAAAAAAAAATTCCTTGGTTTTATGCTCACATCTGGCCGGCAGATCTAGTGTTAAATATGAGTATGGCGGGTATGGCCACACAACTAAAACTTTAAATCCACATATTGTTGGTTGACTGACATATATGGATTATTTTATAGAAAATATGTAGCAAATTATTTCTTCCACCTCCCCCAGTCCTCAGCACACCCAAAATAGGTGTTACTAAAAGCAACATCCCTACACAGAATATGTGTATTCACAGACCCTTGCCAATGTATCTACAACAGATACTGTTACTTTAGTTGTCTCAACCCACAGATCATGCACACTCCTCCTGTAACAACAAACTATGACCGCTAAAAAGCAAGAACACCATTTGTGTGTGTGTGTACGTGGAAACCACAATTTCTAAGACTATGTTATTAAATGGCTGCATGTAAAAGGCCTAGAAGATCCACGGTTACACTCTTATAGGACTATTATTTTCTGATTGTAGAAACGTCTGTGAAAAAAACATCAAGGTGGCCCAATTACCAAGCCCAAGAAGAAGTCGTCAGAGAGGAGTCCTCTCCAATTTCCCGCTGGGCCGGGCCAGGGGCACACAAGACAAGCGAATGGCGGGGGAGCAGGGCGAAGGGCACTGAGTTCGAGGGCTCTGGCGGCTCTGAAAAGCGCCCAGCATATACGCGACACTCCGTCTGCGCCAAGTCTCTGAAGCCGCCCCCGTGAAAGCGGGCAGGAGGGAAAGGGTAGGAGGTGCCCGCAAAGCGGACGAGGCAAAAGTGACTCTGCACACCGACAAAAAGGAAAAAGGGAAAGGAGGACTCGCCTTCCCCAGCCCGCCGCCTCCTTTCAAAGGAAGGAAGCCTGCCCCGCCCAGCCCCGCCCCAGCCCGCGCCTCCAGGACCCGAGCAGCTCTGAGCCCCATCCTTGCCCCCAACCTAAGCCGGCCAGCCCCGGACCCACAAGTGGCGGCAAGGCCCCACCGTCCCTGATCCCCGCGCGGGGCGCCCCTCCACACGCTCCCGCCCCGGCTCCCACCCACCGCCAGAAGGGCGCCTTTAGAAACTTTTCTGTGGGGTGTGTTGGTGTGTGTGCGCGCGCGCGCGCGTCTGGGGCTTTGTCCCCATTCTGGGCAGGGCCGGGTCTCCAGGGCGAGTGCCTGAGGGTGTCCGGGATCTCACAAAGCGCCGCGGAAAACACCTCGGAAACCCCACCTTTTCACCCCGCGCCTCCCGCCAGGGGAGCTGGAGCCCCAGACAGCAATTCCCACGCCCTGCTGACCCCGGGCGCCGGCCTCGCCAGTCGCGCGGGGAACGGCGCGCGCCGGGACAGGGAGGCAGCCGGCAATCGCCCAGGCTCCAAGGACCCTTTTCCAGGGAACACACGAGGGACCTTTCCTCCCTCGTCAGCAGGAGAGGGGCACGGCGCGGCCACACGGCTGCACTCGGCCAGAGCAGAGCCCCGGGCTGCTCATCCTCCCGAGCCGCAGACGCGCGCCCCGGCGGCGCTCACGCCCACGCACGCACACCGAGGCCACCAGCACTCACCGACGGCCTCCCCACAGCCACGGCCATCTCGGCCCCTGGGCGCTCCCCGCCGACTGCCGCCGTACTGTCGCGCACCTGCGTCACGGCCGCCCTACCCTCACACTCCGCTTTCGCGCGCGGCCCGACGCATCTGCCCCGCGCGCCGCCGCCCTCCCATTTTATGGGCGCAACATGGCCTCCTGCCTGGGCAGAACCAAGTACCTCCACTGGAGGGGGAGACGGTTGTCTCTCGGTCTGATCGAGGACAACTGGAGTAGTTCCGAAGAGATCTGCGGCCTTTCCGAGAGGCCCGTACTCCCCAAACTCTGCCGCTCACTGTATGCACTACCTGCATTACCTTTCTTGCACTACCAAGATGCTCCTTGCCTGAGCGCTGGCCGCCTCCCCCGCTCCGCTGCGTGGTGGAGTCCGAGCGAAAGCCGGTCCCCGGGCCCCACCCCAGCCCTCAGTGAACACTGTGTAGCCGGCGGCCGGCTGCTGGAGAGCTGGAGGAGCAGCGCGTAGTGGGGCGCTGCACTGCGGCCGGACGGGGACGGCTGAGTAGCTGCTGGTCCACGGGTCCTCCCGCCAGCTAGGAGGCAAAGCCCGCGCGACCACGCTGGCAAGCGGACCCAGCCACAGCCCTCAGAGGGAAGCGCCCCCACGGGGGTAATTAGGGCGGGGACCCGTCTTCCCGCGGGCGTGGCCGGAGAGGTCGCACGTGGGCTCCGCAGTGTGCCGGGTGCAGGAGACCTACCCGGGGCCTGGCAGGGCTGGGGGCTGCCAGGGGGCACCCGCGGCGCCGCGAGGTGGCTCCTCTGCCACGCGTGGGTCCCCGCGCCCTCCTGGGCGGGCGGCGAGCGAGACCCCGCTGCCGGGGGTGGGGCGCAGACAGGACAGTACCACTGCTTGAAGACGTGGGCAGCGAGCCTACTGGTTTGAAACTCAGGGAGTGTCCTGAGGCTGAGATCGGCCCACCGATTACCCCCAGGGAAACCCAGCCGGCTGAGTCGGGGTGCCTTCGAGTCTGACTTGAGACTTCAAACACCCAGATTCCTGGAGACCTCGAGTTTGTCCCTACTGCTAGTGCTGTGCCAGAGCGCACCCCACTGCCTTTGGCGAGTGGACCAGGACTAGCGAGGTCCAGCCAGGGAAAACACAGCGTGGAGGAAAAGGCGAGGGGCGCTGAATTTCTGTCCCACATACTTCAAATCTTTTTGAGAGCAAGGACCACCATTTATGCCAAACAAGCAGTAGGCGCTCAGTTTAAGTATTAAACTCACAGGCAGTGCTAAGCAAAAGGAGAGAGGACAAAAAGGCAGTGCCCCCCGCCTGTCGCTGTGATATGTGAACGTTGGTGGGGGTGGTGTTTCTCTGATAAAGCAGATGAGGCATTGCCCTGGGACAATAGATCTCTGGTGAGTCTTGTGAAGAGACCCTCCCTCCCCCTCATGACGACAGAAGAAGGTAAGGGCAGCTTAAAAGTGAGTCACTTTCTTCTCGCTGGGACAAATATGCTACACCCACAACTTAAAGGAGGAGAGGGCTAGGTCACCCCTCCACAAGACTGTCTCGCAGCCTCTAGTTAGCCACAGCATCCCATGATTCAGTGACCTTCCACAAGGCCCCCAGATGAGTGCATGCCCTTTGGGAACATCTTCTATGTAAACCATGCCACTTTGTAATATTAACAAGACCAGACTGTTGAATGTTACATCTATATTTATTTTTATTTTTAAGATAAAAATAAAAAGTTTTATAAATGGTTATGTTGTAAACTCAGCTCATTAAATTACAAGAACATGAACCATGGTGGGCAGATGTGTTATTCTGATCACAGAAGTAAAATCATAGTCCAACATATTTGTTCAAGGAAACCAATTTGGGACAATAGCCCTTTTTATTTTTTTAGATAGGGCCTCGCTGAGTTGCCTAGGCTGGGTTCAAACTTAAGAACCTCCAGGCTCAATCTCTCAGATGTGCACTACCACACAAAGTTTGAAATTATTGCATCCACCTTTTTTTGTAGAGGAAACAGGTAAGCATATTTAATAAAAATACAACATCATTGCTTTTAGCCAATGGGGTCTATTTCAGTATGTCAGTAATATATGACCTTCACTTCCAGTTAACCTTTCAGTGCTTCAACATATTCCCCACATACATACTTTTTGAGACAGGGTCTCACTTTATAATTCTAGCCGTCTTTGAACTCACAGCAATCCACCAGCATCAGCCTCCTGAGTGTGAGGGTTATAGACATACACTGTCATGCCTGGCTTCTTTTAGCATTTCTTTGAAAATAGTTTCTCCCTATTACAGTTACTAAAGAATAAGATTACCTTTTTAACTAAATGCCCAGCACTATGCAGGGAAATAGGAATTTAAAAATCAGGATGCCATTAGTTTTTTGGGAGGTAGGGGTGGAGAGACAAAATTGAACACAGGGCCTTTGCACTGAGCTGCATCCCTAGGCCATTTTTAATTTTTTATTTTGAGACAGGGTCTTCCTAAGTTGCCTAAGCTGCCTAAGCTGGACTTGAACTTGTGGTCCTCTCACCTTGGACTCCCAGAATGCAGGGATTGTAGGTATGTACCACCATGCCCAGCATGCTTCTTAACAACCAGTGTATAGTCTGCTGGGAGACAAACATTTACCCAACTTGGATAGATAGGCCAAACGCTAAAAAATGACATAGACTAATGGAATTTTAGTAGGAAATATTTAACCAAGGAAGTGAAGCAAGGGAAAAAGCAAAGAAACATTTTCAAGTGTAGGAACAATGAGTAAAGACTAGGTCCAAGGACAAGGATGTTATGTGAAGGGTTGGTATCACAGTAGAATGACAAGAACATGGCACTTACATGACACATTACCATTTATTAGCTTTGTAATATCAATCCAGTTAGTCTTTCTTTTCTCCTATTGTAAAATAAAGCAGTAATAGTCCTTGTGAAGGCAATCATTTGTTAGTATAGATTCCATTCCCTTTTTGGTGGAACCCCAATTTATTTGGAGAGATTTTACAATGAATGCTCCACTGACAGGAAAGTAAATGCCTCTTCCAGAAGAGGTTTGTGAAGAGCATTTCCATCAAACCCTAGCTATCAGTCAGTGTGCTCAAGGAAATATGTAGTCAAAATGTAGCTAGTGGGGCAGTGTTAAAGTTGGGAGTAAAATGACACAAAGAATACAAATTGCTAGAGTTTTTGCATTCTATAATATACTTTTTATTTTTAGGCTTACATTACCTAGAGGTTGTTGCTGGCTTACAGTTTTTTTTAAAAAATGGCCTAGCTACAATACTTGAAAATGTGATAAGGAATTGGAAAGGGATACAGTAAGGTGAGTAAGTTAAGAAGCTATTGCTACTTTTGGTTTGATTCTGAATCTCTTCTGCAAGAATGTGTAAAAATGTTAAATAAAACTTTGTTGTTGTTTGCTTTTGGCAGTACAGAGAATGGAACCCAGGGTGCCCTACCACTGAGTTATATTCCCAGCCCTTTATATTATTTATTAAATTTTGGGGCGACAAAGTCTTGTTGCACTTGTGATGGTCCTGCCCCTGCTTCTTTTTTTTTTTTTAACTATTATTTATTTATGTGTGTGTGTGTGTGTGTGTGTGTGTGTATGTATGTGTGTAGCCAGCTCAGCCCACCAGGGGGCGGGGGCTGGCTGGCATGTGGTGCTGGGGGATTGAACCGCAGTCCCTGTGATTTGCTAAGCTTGTTCTTAGACCACTGAACTATCTCACCAGCCCTGTCCCTGCTTCTTTAATGTCAGAGATTATAATCCTGCTCCCAGCACCTCAAGCTCCACCCCCCCACACACACACTTTGGTCTCACTGTGTAATAAGATTGGCTGGTAATTCACAATGGCTTGGGCTGGTCTTGAGCTCATCATCCTCCTGCCTTAGTCTCCCAAGTGCTGTGATTCAAGTGTGTGCCTCATTGTGTAACACCCAGCTGAACTGAATCGGCATAGTGCTGGGTGTGGAAGGCCCACCTGAGGATTGTTGTCAACAGCATACAAACAGAGCTGGAGGGGAAGATGGTGTGCTCTTGATTCTCCAGGAAAAGCTCATTGCTCTGGCTCTCCTGATATGAACTCTGTTGTTCTCATCCATGGAGGAGCTCAGGTCCTCGTTGTCCCTGAAGATGTGGTTCTTTTGGGGTAGCTCTGGTCCTTACCTTGAGCATCACTTCCTGGCTTCAGTGCACATCCCTCAGCTTGCTGGCACAGGTCCTTCATCCCACTGATAAACACTTTCTAGCTTCCACCACTGACCTTTGGGCCTACCCAGTGCCAAGTATCAATCCTCAATACAGACTTGCATGAGACATTGTGATGGGCTCTAGCAGGGCATTACTCTGGGACCCAGGCCCTCAGCTAGGTTCTTTAGCTCTCTATGTGTGGACAGATCTGCACATTTTTGTATTTGAATCTTTGGATGAATATTATAAAATAATCTCAAATTATGTGTCCTGTATTAAATTGTTTCTTGTAAACCCTGACTACCACAGCTATGCCCAGCTTAATTGTTTAAGAACAAATCCAGGGGCTGGTGAGATGGCTCAGTGGTCTAAGGCACCTACTTCGAACAAGCTAAGCTAAGCAAAGCACAGGGACCGCAGTTCAATCCCCCAGC